TGGTCGTAGTCACCTTGGTAAATATGCGATTGCTGATGAACGTCATCAAGTATCACAGCGTCCATTACAGAATAAATTACGTGAAAAAAAGTTGTTATCCGGGTAGGCAATCCGACTCGATGTGAGACGTAGTCACGGTAGACAACATGACGACGTGTGACGGCCGGTTCGATTGTATTGGGTGTATAATTCACGTGAAAATATGTTTTGGGGTCTAGCAGGTCAGTCACCTTCCTCTACGTAGGTCGTAGTCACCCTGGTAGGCAATCCGAATCGATGTGAGACGTAGTCACCTGGTAGACAACGTGACGACGTGTGACGGCCGGTTCGAGGATTGGGTGTATAATTTACGTGAAAATATGTTTTGGAGTCTAGCAGGTCAGTCACCTTCCTCTACGTAGGTCGTAGTCACCCTGGTAGGCAATCCGACTTCGTCGGATAGCGGATAATGTGCGACGGCTGATGAACGTCATCACGTTCATTACTGTTACCGAAAACGCAAAAATAAAGAAGAAATATTTCGGGCGTCCATGCATATCATATAGCCACCGCCTTTTTTTGGGTGTCTAGCAGGTCAGTCATCTATGTTATCCGGTAGTCAATCCGACCCCGTCGGATAGCGGACAATGTGCGAAGGCGGGGGCACGTTCATTACTGTTACCGAAAACGCAAAAATAAAGAAGAAAAAAAAAAATAAAATAATAAAATAATATAATAATAAAATAAAATAAAATAAAAAATAATAATAATAATAAATAAAATAATAAAATAAAATCATTTGAGGGGGGCTGTATTGAAGCCTGTATGTTATAGTAAAAGCGACACGACGCACGACGGCGGCGTTCTCCGCGGTGTCGATCGACTTGATGTTGGTCGTAGTCACCCGGGTAGACAACTTGACGATGTGTGACGGCCGGTTCGAGGGAATCGTGCCGCCGTGATCTGTTGAGTGTCTAGCAAGTCAGTCACCACCTTTATTGATGATAACATCGTTAAATGCGTAAGCAATCCGACTAAACGTCAGATAAAAGATCCACCACTCCGAAGCCGGGTCGAAAATGAAAATAGTATTTTTACCGTGCCCGAAAATTACTGATAAGGCCCGTAATCACTTACGAATAAATGAAGGTGTCCTGAAATAATAGCATACTGTATTTCCATCAAGAATTTCAGCGTTGCATTGCCGAAGGCGCAACGATATGGAAACGGAACTCGGTCAGCTGGTTGTGGTTTTGTTTCCACGCACCAACATGGTGTTAGAACCAATGTCTCCCGTATTATGTAAACGTTTGTTAAAAGTCGCGCCAACAGTAACTGTATACGGTATACGGCAGTTGGAAATCTAAGGCGACACATAATTTATTATAATATATTGATAAGTAGGTATTGGTACGTGTTGGGTGAATTACTTGTGTACGGAAACATCGATAATGTTTTCTCCACAATTCCGCATAGCACACATCGTTTGACCATTTTGAATAGCCTAAAAGCATCACGAACAGGTTATAGTAATAATAAGTAAAAAGTGAATACTAAATATGAAAAACTCGTCATAAAAAAAAAACGTTGCAATCGAATACAACGACTGTTGTCTGTTGTAGGTATCAGTCATTGTTATCAGCGGTGAGGTATGAGACTCGCGTGTTATTTTTAGAATTAATAGGTAATGTAAAGCGATAAAACACGTAGGTACCGCAATGGTAACGCGAAGAAACAGCCAACGGACTTAAACATCGACTACAGCGACTGGATAATACACAACTAATACGAATGCGGATATAAAAAAGTTATAGGTATTCAAAGTACATTTGCGGTGTACGAAAAAAACACGAAACGCGCCATGATGTCTGTAGCTGGTGCAAACATATAGAATCAGTAGTTTATCTGAATATTATATAGTAGTAGATATTATTATAGAAGTTGTACTCACCGGGTATGTGAAAAGCGCCCAAAAGACAACAAAACTCAACGAAAAACAGTGAATGTTAAATAACACGAAACGTATTTGGCTTTTCCGTGAGAGTCGATGTGCGTTGTACGAGCGCCGATCACAAGAGGCAGGTCGAAACGGGCGCGCTTCGCGTCGACAAAGTTTCCGCCCCCCGCACTCACTCCATCCCACTCCGCGGCCCACTCGCATAATGTCGCGTATATTAACGGGCATATTATGTAGACAGTATCGTATAGTTTAGTCATATCATTATACAATTTACCTGCCAGAATTTAATTAAATACATTAAGTTATATTTTGTTTATTGATATACCTACATAATTTGACTCACCTAAAAACTGTAATACATTAAGTACCTACTACATAGTATATTATATACCATTGGAGTACCTGTGCCCAACTACTTTATTTACTAATTTTATTTCACTATCAATTCATCTACTTACTATATAGGTACCAATAATATGTTAACTGAAATAATTTTTATAATATTATGTGTAGGTACTTTATTTATATTTTTGGCCCAATGAACGAAAATGTATACTAATATCACTATTAATTCATGTACATACATATAATATGCTTAAATTATATAACTATACTATTATGTATATACATAGGTACATCTATAAAATACATTAGTCATATTATGTAGGTACATAATATATATATCAATTTATTATTCATAAATTATTACATTTGATATTAAATAAATAAATAAATATACGTGATAGACCATAGACCTATATTATATTGAGTAATATCAAATTATGTCATATCATTATACAATTGAACCCAGTGGCGGCTCGAAGGAGGTAAATTTGAATCACGTGATTCACAGAAATTTTATGGGTGGGTGGGTGGGTGTCCTATGGTTGGAACTTGGAAAAGGTAACTTGAAGTATTTTTAAAGGTTTGTAATTTGTAATTAAATTAGAAGTATAATGTTCAGTTGTATGTTATTATTGTATGTGTACTCAGTGTAGTCGTACAGCACGATTTAAGATAGTATTATAGATTTACTATCTTAAATCGTGTCGTACAGTGACAAAAACCCAAGAATTGAATATAAATAATATATTTATTAATTTAAAGAAATTATCGATGAAAGACGTTAGTGATAATAGTAGGTTATTATTATATAAAATAGTTGTTACTTGGATGTTATCTAATATGGGTAATAATTTTATTGTTTATAATGTATATGTCATAGTATATTATACGGGTATTGGGGAACGTACGGGTATTTATAAATAGTCTGAATATTTTTATAATTTTCCGATATCTGCTTGGTATTTTGATAGTCCACTTCGTGTTCATTGGCGGATCAGAAAATACGAGTGAATGTGTTGGATTCTTATTTAGTTATTTGTTGTATCTTGTATGTCTACCGGCAGGCACTAAGCTAGGCAGCGTGATTTATGAATCGTAATCCGCAGAACTGTACTTGTTTTAAGATTTTTGAAGTTCATCATTTTACCCACGTTAGTGACGTTACCCATATTATACTTTTACATTTTAAAATATATACTATGGATGAAACAAAATGTGTGTGTGGTAAGATTAAGACGTCAATGAACTTGACAAACTGGAACAGGCATTTAAAGGCTTGTAAATTGAAAAACCTTAAAAGTAGCGCTAGAAAAACGCAAGATATCAAATCTTATTTTTCACCTCATTTGAGTAAGTACCTATTAATCTATTATACTTATAAGTTATATTTACACAATTTTACTCTGTTTTTAACTGAATTATTGGTAAGTATTACATTTTAAAAATTACAGAAATATTAAAAAATGTTAAGTGCTTGCATAATGCATATTTAGTGCTTTTTTAAACCTAAAAATCCTTTGCTCTACTTATCATTTAGGTAACTATCACTTATGTAGTTATGTAATTGAAATACAAAATACCTACTTAACTTAAATTTTATTTTATATTATGAAAAATGCATTTCCAATACAGGATTCAAAATATAAAACTAATTTTAAATAGGTAGTTCAATTTTCAATACTTAGATGCACTATATTTAATTTGTGCCATTTTCTATTCTCTATTAAATACATACATACCTACCTATTTTAACTTTTAAATAATAAAATATTGAATCATAATATATTAGGTATGTATTAACCTAAAATAAATGTCTAAATGTAAACCTTAATTAAATATTATTACCTAAATTAGTTACAAATAATTAATTTTCAATTAATGATTTTACTCAGTCTGCTGGTATGTAATATTTAAATTGTCAATTAATATGTATTTGTTTATTTTATATCTTTTATCGTTTTGTAGTTTTATATTAAATTACTGTTGTTTTATTTAAGGAGGATCTACATGCCCAGAGAATAATGAATCTGTTGATGCATCAAATGTAAAATGTATTTCAATAAAAGATTTTACTCGGTCTGCTGGTATGTAATATTTAAATTGTCAATTCATTTTTATTTGTTTATTTTATATTTTTTATGTTTTGTAGTTTTATACTAAATTACTGTTGTTTTATTTAAGGAGGATCTATATGCCCAGAGAATAATGAATCTGTTGATGCATCAAATGTAGAATGTATTTCAATAAATGATTTTACTCAGTCTGTTGGTATGTAATATTTAAATTGTCAACTAATATGTATTAATTGTTTATTTTATATTTTTTATGTTTTGTAGTTTTATACTAAATTACTGTTGTTTTATTTAAGGAGGATCTAGATGCCCAGAGAATAATGAATCTGTTGATGCATCAAATGTAGAATGTATTTCAATAAATGATTTTACTCAGTCTGTTGGTATGTAATATTTAAATTGTCAACTAATATGTATTAATTGTTTATTTTATATTTTTTATGTTTTGTAGTTTTATACTAAATTACTGTTGTTTTATTTAAGGAGGATCTACATATATAGAAGTCAATAAATATGCAAATGATCCAGCTTTGATTCCTCAATTTGTGTCAAGTTCATTATTAAGTTATCTTGTTGACTTAGGACCTTGTCAGCCGTTACCCAATGAATTAATTGGTAATATATTTCCTGTTAAGACAGACTCTATGGGTAGAAGCCGTTCTTTCCACGAATCATATTATTATACTAAAGAAACTGTAAATCAATTACCAACAAAAAGATTATGGCTTTCCTACTCTCCTTCTTCTGACCGCATATATTGTTATTCTTGCAAGTTATTCGGATTTACTAAAGCCAAAAAATCAGTCATGGCCAATGGATCAAATGATTGGACAAATCTCAATAGAAATATAAAAAATCATGAATGCAGCACTGAACATTTAGAATCTGAAGTTAGTCGGGGATTGTACCAAAAAAATTATAGAGTTGATTTGCATATAATGGAAAATGCAAATAGAAATGTTGCTGAGAATCGAGAAGTTCTTCGTGTCATCATTGAAATTATAATATTTACTGCACGTCAGAATATAGCCCTTAGAGGACATGATGAAAAGTTAACTTCAAACAATAGAGGTAATTTTTTAGAATTAGTAGAGCTTCTTAGTCATCATAATGCTGTTTTAAAAATACACTTAGATAAATTAAAAAACAAAAAAATTAATAGACTTACTTTTTTATCACAAATAAGTCAAAATAAAATTCTTAAAATTTTGGGAGAATTAGTAAGATGCTCAATTTTAACTAGAATTAAAAAAGCTGGATTGTTATCAGTCATTATTGATACAACCACTGATGTCGCAAATATTGAACAGTTTTCATTTATTATAAGATTTGTTAATATACATGGTGCGATTGAAGAAAGGCTTGTAGCATTAGAGGCTGCAGCTGATGGGACTGGAAAAGGATTGTATGAAAAGTTTTGTGAAATAACAGAGAAACATAACATTGATTGGAAGAAAAACTTATGTGCGCAGGCGTACGATGGTGCTGCTGCAATGCAAGGAACTTATTCAGGGTTACGTACATTTATTCAACGCGAAAACTCAAAGGCGATATATGTATGGTGCTTTGCACACTTATTGAATCTAGTTGTGGTTGATACCTGTGACTCTTGTAGTGACACAAAACATTTTTTTGGTCACTTGCAATCAGTGATTGAATTCATGAGGGCTAGGAAAAGAACTGCTGTGTTTATTGAATGTCAACGTGATTTATATCCAGAAGAACGGATTTGTCGTATGAAAAGTTTTTCTAATACGAGATGGACATCTCACGATCGTGTAATTAATGTTGTATACAAACGATTTAAAGCATTATTAAAATCATTAATTATTTTGGAATCATTCAATGATAGAGTAACGTCTTCAAATGCTAGTATATTTAAAAATATTTGTTCAACATTTAGTTTTGTTGTAACATTAATTTTTATGAAAAAAGTTTTTTCGGTCACTACACCACTATCCAACTATTTACAGTCAAAATCACTGGACTTTATTGAGGCATTAAGACTTGTGAATAACGCAAAAGAAAATTTACTATTAATGCGCTCTGACATCAAATATGAACAAATTATAAATGAAGCCAAACAATTTTGTGAAGAACATGATCTGCCTGAAAAGGACTTTAAAACTATTAGATCGAAAAAACGGAAGAGGCAAATTGATGAAGATGAAAATACAAATGAAGTAAATTTAAATTCACCATTTGAAAAATATAAAATAAACACATATTTTATGGCTTTGGATAAAATAACAACATCATTTATATCACGATTCAGTGGGGCTCAAAATATTTTAAAAGACTTAGCTTTACTGTCACCTGAGCGTCTAATTGAATTTGGAAAAGATCCCGAGCAAGAGTTACCAAACAATTGCTTTAATTATGTTGCAGAATGGATAGATGGTATATCATTAGAAAATTTAAAAAATGAATACAAAGTGTTTAGTACTAGTGTAGTATCTTTGCATGATGGAAATAAATTTCCGGCCAATCTTCACAACACAAGCATTATTGATGAAACAACATCAGAATTAAACCAAGAAACCTTACAAACCAGTGAATCAGAAATTGACCATGAAGAAAGCGAAGCAATATGTTACAACAATACTATTACTGTATCCAGTATTTTACATGTTTTAACAAGTTTTGATTTGGTATCTGCGTTCCCAAACTTATATCTGGCTTACAAGGCATTAGGAACAGTACCAACATCTTCAGCGTCAGCCGAACGAAGCTTTTCTAAGGTATATTATTAATTTAGAAATTTTTATAATATTGTTTATTGCAAATTGTAATAACTGTAAACTATGAGTAAAGATTATTTTATGATTGATGACACACTATTTGATTTACATCTAGGTAAAATTAGTAAAGACGAGACTACGCTCAACAATGGGTGAAGAACGACTTGAAAGTCTCATTCTTTTAAGTTGTGAAAAGGATATAGATATAAATATTGAAGAAGCAATAAACAGATTTGGTTGTTCTTCGGATTTATTAAAATCACACCTTATGTTTAAATAAATAGTTATTTCATAATTTAGTTGAGTTATTTACTTTATTTTATTATTCTAAATACCATTAATTTAGATAAAAAAAAAAAAAAATTATATTAAAATTTAGTGATATAAGTATGATCAAAAATGAATTGTCTTGAAATTTTCAAAAACTAGGTACAGTGCATATAAAATGTATTAATTGAATTTTTGTTATAGAAAAAATTACATTTAGATAATATGTATATTGATTTGTCATGCGGATCCAATAAGTATAATTTTTTTAGGGGTCTAGAGGGGTCATGATTTACTTTACATAGTATATGCCAATATTAAATAACCATTACTTTATCACTAACAACTTATCAATTCATTATTTGGAGAGCAGTGAAAAAATTTAGGGTGGGTGGTGTAAAAATTATTAAATGCGAGTCATGAAAAAAAAAGTTCAAGCCGCCACTGATTGAACCATCAGAGTATTATATACTATTTGAAAAATATAGGTGCGTTGTTCATGGTAAATGTGTCAAGTATTAACTAAATACTTATTATAAATAAATATTTATTAAATACTTATAGTATAGTCATATGATATGACTAAATTCATATAATTCATATTTTTAATATCACCTAAAAATTTAGTACCTACTACATAGTATATTATATATATATATATATATTTATAATTTGTTATTATATACTTAGAAGTGAAATCCTCTGTTTCCAATACTTAGTTACTCTCTATTAGTCCATCAATGTTATGTACCTACTCATGGAGTACTAACCTATGACCAACTACCTTATTTACCAATTTCACTATTACTTCTTCTAATTAAATTTTTACATATTACAATATGCCCAGTTCATATATTATAACACTATACCGTTTAACACACAATGCAAACTATTAGAAAAAGACATATTTTATATACCAACCAATACCAATAATATAATTAATAGTAAATAGTACTTCATTTAAACTTTTAGACCAATGGACCAAAATATGTACTGATTTCACTTTGTACATACATAATATTATGCTTAAATTATATAAATATATCATTAGGTATAAACATACATCTATATAATAAATAGTACATAATGTATATATATATCAATTTGTTATTCATAATTTATTAATTTGATAAATATTAATTTTTTCATAATTAAATTAATATACACTATAGACCTACCTATATTTTGAGCAATAACAAATTATGTCAAATACAATTTAACTATCAGAGTATTATATACTATCTGCAGCAGTATTTGTATCGTACCTCAACCAAACTGTGATATATTAAGTAGGTACCTACTACAAAGTATACATGTACCTAGGTTAGTAGTTATATTGTACTTGCACTATTGTTTATTGAAGTATAAAGGAAACATATATGTGCGTTGGATAAAATCAAGTGTAAATTAAATATTTATTATTATTATTTATTAAATAGTTTAATAAGTATAGTAATATTTAAATACGTTAAGTTATATATTAAATATCTACTACATCAAACGATCAAATCTATCCATATAAATAATATCAAAGAGAGTAGTTAGGTATATTATAATAATTGTACAATTTAACTACCAGAATTTAATCATTTCAATTAGATCTATTAGCTTATAAATATTATTATATCAAATAGTATTTATAATCTGTAGCAGTGTTAACTAAATATTTATTATTATTATTATTTATTAAATAGTTATAGCATAGTCATATAATTTAATTAAACACATTAGATTATATTTTTAATATACATAATTTGACTCACCTAAAAACTGTAATACATTAAGTACCTACTACATAGTATAACATATATATATATTTTTATAAAATGTTATTATATAAATATATCAATAGGTATAAAGATACATGTATATAATAAATAGCACATAATATATATATATATATATATATCAATATGTTATTCATAATATTACCAACAACTCAACCTCAATCAAACTGTGATATATTTAATAGGTACCTACGACTAAGCATACATGTAAGTTAGTTATTATTATCGCGTCGAATCGCGGACGGCGTTCATAACTGTCACCGAAAAATTTGAGAGGGGGTCAAAAGTACCCCGACTATGGGGGGACTATTTAGAGGGTCTTGAAACGTAAATTTTGGTGGTAAAACGGGGGACCCAAGTCGAAACGTGACAGAGATATACTTAAATCAAAAAAAGGGGGGGGGGGGTAATTTTTGATATGGTATGCACGTGGTCACCCACAACCCATAGCCGTTTACAAAATACGGCTACGACGATCCCCGGCTAAGTTATGCTCGGCCAAAAAAAATTTGATTGGGGGGGGGGGTCAAAAGTACCCCGTCTATGAGGGGGGACTATTTAAATATGATAATACGGAACTGATGGAGAAAAGACGAAAAAAAAAAACGCGAAAAAAAACTCAAGATTATCACGGCCGCCGCAAATCTTCGATATCGCCGGGGGACGGTATCGAACCCACGACTCCTAGTTACATGTCCTAGCGCCCTAACCTATCGACTACCTACTCAGATGAAATATCGTGTCAAATCTATGACTATTAAGCCGCGTCGCCGTGCACCCGAAACTGGAAAGCGGCGTCCACGTCCGTCAAATGGCGTCCGAGCGGGGGGGTCGAACGCGTCTGTAAGGGGACGACCGTCTCGACCGGCTTCGGAAGTTCGATTCGGTGAGATTCGCGAAAAAAATCGATCGTCGGGACGCATGTATTAATGCCTGTATATAGCGATACCCAAAATGTACCTACTCGGTACCTACTCTCGTTTCCACGACGCCGCTCCTCCCCGGGACTCGTTTTTGAAAAAGTAGGACAGCTCGCCGACTACAAATTTAGCGAGGAACGCGAATAAGACGCAAACGGGGAGACCCGAGGCCCCCGAGGGGGGTAAAATTCGAGATTCGGTGGGATTCGCGAAAAAAATCGGACGTAGAGACGCATGTATTTATGCCTGTATATAGCACACACACGACGTACCCACTCGGTACCTACTCTCGTTTGCGCGTCGCCGCTCCTCCCCGGGACTCGTTTTTGAAAAAGTAGGACTGCGGGCCGGCTATAAATTTAGCGGGGAACTCGAATACGTCTTCGGCGGGGAGGTGAAAAGTCTACAAACGAAGCGAAACGCGACTCTGTTGGAAAAAGTCGGAAAAACCGTCGAAATCGTGACGACGCCGCGGCGTCGGCGACCGTCTAGTCGGATGAGGGGACTCATTTTTGAAAAAGTAGGATAGCGCGCCGGCTACAAATATAGCGAGGAGCGCGAATATAACGCAAACGGGGACGCCCGGGGCCCCCGAGGGGGGTAAAATTCGAGATTCGGTGGGATTCGCGAAAAAAATCGGACGTAGAGACGCATGTATTTATGCCTGTATATAGCACACACACGACGTACCCACTCGGTACCTACTCTCGTTTGCGCGTCGCCGCTCCTCCCCGGGACTCGTTTTTGAAAAAGTAGGACTGCGGGCCGGCTATAAATTTAGCGGGGAACTCGAATACGTCTTCGGCGGGGAGGTGAAAAGTCTACAAACGAAGCGAAACGCGACTCTGTTGGAAAAAGTCGGAAAAACCGTCGAAATCGTGACGACGCCGCGGCGTCGGCGACCGTCTAGTCGGATGAGGGGACTCATTTTTGAAAAAGTAGGATAGCGCGCCGGCTACAAATATAGCGAGGAGCGCGAATATAACGCAAACGGGGACGCCCGGGGCCCCCGAGGGGGGTAAAACTCGATATTTCGAAAAACACGGCGAAAAACGCGCGCGACGGCGGCGCTCGTATCGCGCGCGAGATCGGCCGCCGCGGGCCCGCCAGGAAGAAAATACGGTCGCGCGCGGCCTGTAAATCTAGCGGGGAACGCGAATAAGGTCACAGCGGGGAGACCCCGGGCCCCCCGAGGGGGTAAAACTCGAAAAACTCGAAAAATTTAGAAAAAATCGAAAAAATCTCGAAACAGTGATAAGAAAGGCTGATTACGCAGCGACGGCTCCGCCGCCGCCGGGAGACCGCCCTCCGGGGAAATTGAATTTTCTCATTGGCTCTCTCTTACGATGGTTCGGATTTAACGCATAGGCGGCGCCCTCGGTTTCTTGCTTTATAGTATAGAGACTAGATTCCGGTGTTTGTCATCCCGCCTACGGCGGAAAGACTGTGTGGGCGGTGGTGCATCTTTGTCTGCGATGCTGGGTTTTTTGATCCAGCCTGCGGCGGGAAGGGGGGGGTCTTCGGGTATTGTGTTTAGTCGTGTTGGCAGCACTGGTTAAGCGGTAATTTTTGAACTCGGAAGAGTGTCTAGTCGTAAGTCACGTGATTCAAGTCGATCGTACGACACAGCCAGCCAGGTAGGCAATCCGACTACGTCGGATCGCAGACCATGCACCGGGCGGGTATGTCCGGTTCTGGTGTGTGTGTGTTGAAATCGGAAATTCGGATTCTGGGTTTGAGTGTCTAGCTATCAGTCATCTCGGGTAAAAGTCGATTCCCGAGAGTCGGATGCAGTGGGGGACACTGGGGGTGTAAGTCGCTCGTATGGAAGTAGCTAGTCAGGTAGGCAATCCGACTACGTCGGATCGCAGACCATGCACCGGGCGTGTATGTCCGGTTCTCGTATGTGTGTTGAAATCGGAAATTCGAATTCTGAGTTTGAATGTCTAGCTATCAGTCATCTCGGATGAAAGTCGATTCCCGAACGGACAATCCGCCTGTGGCGGATCGGATGCAGTGGGGTGTAAGTCGCTCGTATGCAAGTAGCTAGTCAGGTAGGCAATCCGACTACGTCGGATCGCAGACCATGTCGTGTATGTCCGGTTCTGGTGTGTGTGTGTGTTGAAATCGGAAATTCGGATTCTGAGTTTGAGTGTCTAGTTATCAGTCATCTCGGGTGAAATCCGATTCCCGAACGGACAATCCGCCTACAGCGAAAAGTGCTCGAAACGGCCGTTCAAATATGAAAAAGTATACAGGAGGTAATAAAATTGTATTTGTTGATAATTATAGAGAACAGTTATCAG